TTTTCATGAGAAAGTGAAGAATAAACTTGTACAAGAATGTATTTAGTTGTTTCATGAGCATTATCAATAATCATTACCAAATTCTGATTATATAAGCAATCACTGAATGAACTGAATGAGACTGATTTTGACCTTCAGTCCCAGTTTCATTCTGATTTTGAAAGAATGATCATCTTTCACAGTTTATTCTGGAAAATTACTTTCATTTCACTGTTCTTGAATTAAATCTGGTCATTTTTCACATCATTTCTCTCAGGAATGGTCCATTTTCAGATTTTTTTGAGGCTTGGTCCTGGTGGGACTCACGCCAAGAAATGTATGGGACCAGACCAAATGGGATCAAATGTGAAATTCATGGTCCCGGCGGCCAGTCTAATCTTGTTCAATTAAATGTAAAAAGAAAATATTCTCATCTATAATACAGCTGAAACTAGAACATGGCTATTTCAAATCTTATATACAAAGATTTGATAATAGATTTGACTCAATAGAATGCTCATTCTGCAATATAAATGAGAATTCTGAGTATATTGTGATGCACTGTGCATTATACAATAGTCTCAGAGTCAGATTGAAAGAGAAGTATAATCTAAATCAATTAAATATGAGATTCTTATTCTCATCTGAGACAGGAATTAAATACTTAATAGACTTTCTATCAGAAACTCAAGCAGCTATAAGAAAATGGCTAAATTCAGAATTATCTGAATATGAAGAGAAGAAAATCAACCAGATATAGTCTGTTAAAACAGCTATATACTATCTTTTAATAATTTGTTTTATTACAGTCTTTCTTTACTTTATCTTTTTCTTTCAATTTCTTTCTGTCTATCTATTTAATATGTCTATCTTTAAGACTGTGTTCTCTTTTCCTTTGTCATGATACTGTCAAATGATTTCAAAGTATCAGAAGATGTTAAAATACTGCAATTTGTAAAAAGTTTTTATATTCTGAGCTGGAATTTTCTGATTTTGCATATCTGAAATTGATGAATGTATAATAGTTTACTTTACAGATATAGGAAAAACCCTGAGAACTAAAAGTTCTCAGGTAGATATCATAGTCTCTGACTGCATACATCTATAATTGAAGAATAATAATAATAATAATGACACAGATAATTAATGAAAGACCGAAAAGAAATCTGCAGAACTGAGAGATGAATTAATTATTAAAGATAACAGCTATGATTATTTTCTTAATTGAGTTAAGAATGAAGTTGATGAGTAATATTCTCTATAATATCTGATAACACAGTGAGCTCTTTGAATAATAGTTTTCTTTTTACAGACTGCTGCTAATTAAGATATATCAGAACTATAAATCTCATAGTGATAAAACTTAATCTCAGATAATATGTCTGTTTCAATAGACTGTTTATAAGCTTGAGAGGCTGCTGTTAATTGCATCAAGTGTTGACATGTCTGAGATAGTGAGAAGAGTTCAGACTTATTTATTACAGAATCTGTAACTGTAGAAGAATCTGATTTCACTGCACATGTCTGTTTACAGTTCTACACAGTGTAAAGAGGAAATCAGTAATAGAAAAGGGATAATGAGAGAAGATTACAATATCTAAGTTCTCTAAGTATAGTATTGAAGACAGAAAGCTGCAGAAGTAGTAGAACACTGTAAAGAAATAAATTAATCAAGACACTGATTTTACAAGCAGTGAATACAGGCTTTTAATATGTGATTCATTCTTGAGAATTTATAAGAGATGATTGATCAGATGTATTATCTATTCAAACATCTGTATAAAGTAGATAGTTGATAAGATACATGATCTATTATTCAAAAATCTGTATAAAGTAGATAGTTAATGAGATGTATAATCTATTATTCAAGAATCTGTACAGAGTAGATAATATAGTTAATGAGATGAAAGATGAATGTGTTATGAGTGTGTAGAAGTCATAGTATAATATCACAGAATTATACTTTGCTTAATTCTACATCAATCAGTGAGCTGTATTTGTGCTAAGAATCTTAAAAAGGAAATTCTTCACTTTTAATAACCAGGGTTTTCATCATATATTTGCTTCGCTTCGCGCTGCAAATAAATATTCACTTCGCTTCGCGCTGTAAATAAATATTCACTTCAATCACTGATTCTCACACTTTCTCTTTCTTTTCTTCTCTAACATTTTTTACTTTGTTGTATAAGATCTATAAATATTATACTGATATATTCAGCTTAGACCTCTTACACTTCTTATTCTATGAAAGACAAAGATTCTCTATAATATCTAGACTAACCGTGTGACCGTGTCTGAAACTGAAACTAGATTTTTTGATAGTTTCATTATCAATTTAACTGATCTCATTATACAGTTTTAACATTAGATAGTAGTCTCATACTGTCTCAGTGAGACTTACTGTCTACTCTTATCACATTTTTCAAATGAGATTATGATTTTCACTTCTCAATTTAAATTATTTTTATTGCTTTAAATAACTTTAAATCTCATTTAAGCATTATCAAAAAGTGTTACTTTTTAAAAAATTAAAAATGGTCTAAAAAAAATCTTAAAATGTCTAGAAATAGTAACTTTATGCTAAGAATGAGACTAAATGAGATCAAATGAAACCACTTTCTCATTTTTTTCAAGTCATGATTAGACTGGCCGCTGAGATCATGAATTTCATGTTTAATCTCATTTAGTCTGATTTCATACATTTCTTAGCATGAATCCCGCTGAGACTGGCTATCAAAAAACCATGTAAAGTGACTATATATCAGATTTTAAAATGAGACCATGACTTGAAAAAAATGAGAAAGTGATCTCATTTGATCTCATTTAGTCTCATTCTTGACATAAAGTTACTATTTTTAGACATTTTAAGGTTTTTTTTAGACTATTTTTAATTTTTTAAAAAGTAACACTTTTTGATAACACTCAAATGAGATTTAAAGTCATTTAAAGCAATAAAACTAATTTAAATTGAGAAGTGAAAATCATGATCTCATTTGAAAAATGTGACAAGAGTAGATAGTAAGTCTCACTGAAACAGTATGAAACTACTATCTAATATTAAAACTGTGTAATGAGATCAGTTGAATTGATAATGAGACTATCAAAAAATCTGATCCTGGTCTCAGACACGGTCACACGGTCAGTCTAGTCATGATTTCATTTTAAGATCTCATATATAGTCACTTTACATGTTTTTTTAATGACTAGTCTCAGTGAAATTCATGCCAAGAAATGTATAAGATCAGACTAAATGAAATTAAATGTGAAATTCATGATCTCAGTGACTAGTTTAATGATATCTGCTTAATCTTCTATTACTTTATTATCTCAGATTCTTTATCTCATTCATAGTTATTATTTCATTATCATCTTATTGTTTCAATTTCTTTCTTTACCCGCCTCTCACACAAGAAGAATATTAACTCATATTTAAAAAATGCCTAGTATTCACTCTCTTATTTCTTATTAGATTTAGTACTCACAGTATTTAGTGATTTCTATCATCTTCTTTCAACTTCATTTTTTCATCTTATCATCTCATTTTCAAACATCTGTCTCTTTTCAGACAGAGAAACTGTAGTGTTTATTCTTACTACTTCTCAGAGCTTCTGCTTCTTTCTTCTTCTACTCTATTCTTATTTCTCTATTTGAAAGTATATTCACTTACTACTTCTCAGAGCTTCTGCTTCTTTCTAGAACTTTCATCTCTTTCTTTCTAAGACTTTTGTCTCTTTCTTTCTAAGACTTCTGCCTCTTTTATTATGAGACTTTTACTTCTTTCTTTCTAAGACTTCTGCTTCTTTCTTCTGTAAAAGTCAATCACAGTAAACAAACAAGCATGTATATATATATATAGAGGCGCCCGCCCATCTTCATCTTAGAGAATGAGACAAGATTTACCTTTTTACATGTATAATACATAATCAGCATATATTACAGATGATATATACTGTAAAAACTCTGTTATATATTATATATTATTTAAAAGAGATAATGAATTTGAGTATTTTCTATAGATATAATCTGTATAAGAGATTCATTCTTCTTAATTTCTCTGATAATTTTTACTTACTCTTCAGCTACTTGAATTCTGATTAAGTAGGTCTCTTAAATGAGAATAGAAAATTAATATTCAGCTATGTTTTTAAGCTTGTAGACAGTCTGATTTTATGATAATCAGTAAAGTAATCTTGTATATCTCTAAGTCTCAATGAGACTGAATATATAACTCTTAGTAAGATAATCTACAAAGTAATATAAATCTGAAATCTTATAATGAAGCTTGACTTTATTATTATATCTTTAATATGAATTCTCACTAATAATAAGAGTGTCATAGATTTTATAAAGATAATAGTTATTATAATCTGAAGTAAGTATATTAGTATATATTTTCATTTTTCATGTTAATAGTTAAATCAGAGAGTCATTGATTTAAAATATGTTTTTATTACTTAAATAATAACAGATAAACTCACTAAATCTCTAAACACTGTAACAGTTATATAATTCATGATTTTACTAGATCTTACAGATGAAAAAGTTGAAAATGCTTAATTTTACATTTGTATTTGATTTTGACAGACTATCTTGATGAATTGAGTATTTTTATATGTGATTCTTGTTATCTCAAGGGGGGGTGTTGGCCGTTACGGCCGTTGCGGTTAGCGATCCCACCAGATCACGTGACTCACCACTATATTATGTTAGGGGTCCCGGGGGTTGATCGGCCCTTCTACCAGCAGCGCTGGTGGTGACTGAGCTCTTTTGCCCCAGTAGCCTACAGGTTATGAGACTGTTAAGCGTGAGCCCCGCTGTGGTCAACATGTATGGGTTCAATCCCAGAATGGACTTAAGAAAATCTCAAAACAAATACCCCGGACATTTAACAGTGCCAAGAGACATCCTAGGAGTGTGCCCTAGAAGTGAGCCCTTGAGCCCTAGGAGTGAGTCCAAAAAGAAAGACCGCTGAGAGGAGCCACAAAGAGGAGCCACTGAGAGGAGCCACTGTACTCTGTGGTTAGGGGGGTGTTGGGGGTCCCGGGGGTTGATCGGCCCTTCTACCAGCAGCGCTGGTGGTGACTGAGCTCTTTTGCCCCAGTAGCCTACATATTATGTTCTTGTAGATAGATCTATCAATACAACCTTCAACTATCCTACATTAACTACACGAAAAGAATGACTACCGCAACCACGCCACGCAACGAATAGGCCCTATGCATAGTAAAATATAAAATATAAAATGGCGTTAGCGTGGATAGGGTGTTGTACTGCACATCTAATAATAGCCGGCCTGGGGATTTCATTCCGCACACGGAGCATTTTAGGTGTGGGGCATTCTTTTCTTTTCTTCTCTTCTTTTTCGGTTTTTATCTCAAGCGTGGACTGCGAAGATGAATCCCCTGGATCCATCAGCAGAGAGAGAAGAAGGGGGAAAGGTATGATATATGTCTATTACCTGCTTGGAGGAGCCTCTGGGTAGCTCAGATGATTAGCCAAATTCATTGATCCCCTAGGGTGCACACAGGCGCTTGTACAATCCAAAGCCTGTTATTTGAGATATGTGAACAGGGAATTAGATTTACTAAATAGCAAAACAGCAACAAAAGCGATTGCATTCGTGTAAGCTCTTATAAAGAGTTATATCAGAGCCCGGGCTGCTAATCTATGCATGATTCTGAGTTTGATAACAAACGGAGAGAGACGTTATGAGCTAAGATTCCGGATGTACATACATGTAGTTGTCGATTTGCGCAGATAAGTATTCTTTTAACAAGATGGGGGTCAAGAGGTTCGATGCATCCGGCCCCTTTACCCATTGGAGCATCAGTTGACTTTTCCGCAACTGATGATGGTTCGAGTCTGATTCGGCCCCTGCGCTTCATCTGAATAATATTTCGTTGCACCGATACAGTTGATTTGGAGCAACTTATGCGACAGGAATATCCCAATGCCCCGCGGATGCGTCCCTCATCCACTGATATCTTCACGATTCCGTGCCGGCATACATAGTTTCAAAAATTGTGGCTGTTCAAGTATCCCATGTTCCCTCCTCCTGTCGCCCATTTCACGAGGCTAATATTAACCTCGATGACGATGGGCTGGTTTTTATTCAGATCTTTGAATTCCTTCCCCTGGATATGATCTTGCTGATTGGGTGTTTGTTGGACTTTTTAACGGGTTTCTAAAGACCCTAGCCGACCATGGACCATTTGGATTGCGAAAGCTGGAGATAGTATGTTATGTATCTCTAGGTATGATGATGGGCTGCCGCATTTGTTGATCCAATTAGAGAGTAAACAGTAAAGCCCCTCCCTAGGAACAGTCAAGACGAGAGCTGATATGTAAAATCGAGACCATTGTCCTTCAGTCGGGGTAATAATGTCAGCTCCAATCTATGACATCACGGGAACCTGTTATTAGTATTGTTAAGGAGGTCCGGGTATTGTAATTCACTTCCCCGAAATAGAGTGAGAGAGAGAAAGAAATAAAGTTACCTCTCTTCAATAACATGCGAATATATACACAAAATGGTTAGGTTATTCATAGGCGTATGAAGCACGAGAGCATCAATATAAAATGCCCAGAACTAGTCAAAAACACCCCTTGACGCTAAAGCACAAAGTCCAATGAAGTCACAGTTGTTTGTTCCCCTAATGCTTTGCTACCGAGCGGCCACGGGCAGGAGGAATTGGTTGCTGTGGACCAAAAGTTCGCCCTAAGCTTGCTGCCAGGGCACCTAGGCCCACGATAGTCAAGATGACAAAGAACCTCCCAGAATTACTCTCTCCAGAGTCCTCAGTGGTCAAGCCGCCCTGTTCTCGCATGCGCGATTTCTCGCGCTCGATAGCTCTATGACGACGAAGACGTCTTCTTTCATCTTCGTGTGATTGCGTGCGAAAGTGCGATTGAGCATCGAAGTGGAAGACTGGGTTGTTGTAAATGAATGAAGATTCCGACTCTGACGCGGTGGAAGCAGAAGCGATGTTGGAAGCATGTTTATGGCATGCATGTTGGCTGGTGCCATAGCCGCCATGCGCATAGAAGCTTGGCGGGGGTCCGTGGAAAGTTCCACGTTCTTTTCTTAACCCGGATGGTGGTCGGGAGCCTACATATGAGGCCTTGCGGTGATGATGGGAGCCCGTGTTGGGTGCTTGCACCGGCTGGCGAATGTGATGATCTCGGTCATACCGGGCTCGTCTCAATTCGTGGGACAAGACATGGTACGCCGAAGATATAGACGTGAATTTGGCGTGTGCAGCAGGGTCTTTCGGGTTTCTATCAGGGTGGTGGGCGAGGGAGAGGGCGTAAAACTGTCTAGATACGGTTTTACGTGAAAGGTTAAAATTAGGGCCCAAGCGTGAAGTTGTGAATGGAATATGCCGCGTGAAAAGTAATTAAACACCCAGCACTTACTTTTTGATTTCTGCTGTTGTAGCTGTGGCTGGCACGTTGAGGATCTCATAGTATGAAGGCCTGTGGGCTTCGGTGGAGAATGGCCGCCCACAAGAGATCCTTGGAAGAGGATGTAGAAAAGCCCGTGGGGAGAAAAAGGGCAGACGGTGAAGACGCGGCGGCATACCTTACATTTCCCGTCATACCTATGAGAACATCAAGCAAAATAGAGCAAAAGACTGAAATGTCTCTTATTGAGGGTTGGAGCAGATCATCGCAAATTCCAAGGTTGTAACTAATGGCCAGTCATGTGACATTCCGTCATCGACTTTCGGCTTCGATGCAGAATGAAAAACCAGCAGTTTAAGGATTTCTTTCCGCAAGATTACATTCATATCAAACCAACAGATACTATTATTCATATTTCCAGTAATTAAGAACTAGAAGAGTAGAAATTTTTTGTAATCGTGCTATCGTACACGTGATTTCAGCTACATCGGGATTCTGGAGTCGTTCATTGGCTGTATCCCAAGGCGGAGACACATTCTGCTGAGCTGAGAGCGAGCTGTGAGATATTTGGCGGCAACATTTTACATGGTGGTAGACATCCGAACACAAAACCTTTGCCTTCTCTGATTTTTCAACATGGCAGCTCAAGTTACGCCGGAGTTGGCAAATCTTAACTGTAGGTCTCCCTCGTCAAATTTTTGCTTCGAATTTACAATCCATTTTTCTAATGATATTTTCGTAGCCAAACCTGAAGGTGGGGCTCCTCCGAAGCAAGTTCCAGTGAAAGATGTCCCCGAGAACGAAGATGTAGAGTCGGACGACGATAATGAGGGTGATCAGGGAGCAGGTGAACCCGGAAGTACGGGAGGTTCGATATATATGTTTTCCTCTTTTCTCTAAGGCTTCGCTAATTCCTTCCTATCCTTCTGCTACAGCCGCAAAGAAAAAAAAGAAGAAGAAGCCAAAGAAGAAGAAGAAGGGCGGCCCAAAGGTGCAAACCGAGCCTCCCCGCGTCATTCTCTCGAGCATATTCCCCAACAATGACTATCCCGTGGGCGAGCTTGTCGAGTACAAAGACGACAATGCCTACCGTACTACCAACGAGGAGAAGAGATATCTTGACCGCATGAATAATGATTTCCTCTCAGAATACCGCTATGCGGCAGAAGTGCACAGACAGGTGCGCCAATATGCACAGAAAACCATCAAGCCAGGCCAGACTTTGACGGAAATCGCTGAGGGGATCGAGGACAGTGTGCGCGCACTCACCGGCCACGACGGGTTGACAGAAGGAGATAATCTGCTAGGCGGAATTGCATTCCCAACCGGTGTTAACCTCAATCATTGCGCAGCACATTACTCCCCCAATGCTGGTAATAAGATGGTCCTTCAATACGAAGATGTGATGAAGGTTGATTTTGGCGTTCATATCAATGGCAGAATTGTGGATAGCGCTTTTACTGTTGCGTTCGATCCGGTTTATGATAATTTACTGGCTGCTGTTAAAGATGCTACGAATACAGGAATTAGGGTTTGTCATCACTCCATACCCCATGCCACATAGCCCTATTCATCCATCAATTTTTCGGATATCCGTCTAACAAGAGGGTTGCTTTCTGTAGGAAGCCGGTATTGACGTCCGCATGAGCGATATTGGCGCGGCGATCCAGGAAACCATGGAAAGTTATGAAGTCGAGATTAAAGGAACCACATATCCCGTCAAACCCATTCGAAACCTTAATGGACATACAATTGGCCAATTCGAGATCCATGGCGGCAAGAATGGGAAGAGCGTTCCGATTGTCAAAGGAGGGGATCAATCCAAGATGGAGGAGGGCGAAGTTTATGCCATCGAAACATTTGGTAGCACTGGAAGGGGATATGTGAGAGATGATGTAAGTTTAGTGTAGAATTCGCTTATGTGCAGAAAGTGGACGTCCCAGGATTTTCTGGACGTGGCTAACCTGAGTATTTACGCAGATGGAAACCTCACACTATGCTAAAGTTCCTGATGCTCCCAATGTTCCTCTCCGCCTGTCGTCTGCGAAGAACCTTTTGAACGTCATCACAAAGAATTTTGGCACTTTGCCTTTCTGTCGGCGGTACCTTGACCGACTTGGACAAGATAAATACCTTCTTGGAGTAAGCTGATGCCAAACCCAGCCCTCTTCTTTTCCTCTTCTTTTCTCCTCTTTATATTATTTCTTTTTTCTCCCTTTTTTCCGAATAGGGTGAAGTAGTGTAGCTGACCAACCATCACCATTAGCTAAATAACTTGGTTGCCAATGGAATCGTCGACGCATATCCACCACTTTGCGACATAAAGGGATCATACACTGCCCAATTTGAACACGTGAGTAGCATCCCATTCTCGATTACAATATGAGCACTGCATATATTATATGCCTATTGCATTTTACTAACCAGTATACGCCAGACTATCTTACTTCGACCGAACATCAAAGAGGTCATCAGCCGGGGGTATGATTACTAGAGTTTCTGGTTCTTCTTTGTTATATATCTACGTTGATGCTTTTCCCGAATGTGCCTAGTTTTATGACAGTATAGCAGCAAGATGGAAATAGAATAATGCCTTATTTCTGTCCTCTTTTTATCCACCTTCGTGCCGAACCGAAATTTTTGTAGTTACTGGGTGGGTCTAGGAGGGAAGTAGGAGAGAATTAATAAAAATGAATGGCTAAGGAAGCACACTGCATTTTATCTAATTCACATAGTTGCCCGAGGCGGTGAAGATTGCGCTCGAGGTACGGAGTTAATCCATACATATAACGACATGGCGGAACCCCTTTCAAGGCTTTTAAGGTTATCTTATCTGATCCGGTTCTGTTCTTATCTCCACGTGATCCCGCTTCCCGCCCTGACCTTCGGAAGTGTAGGGGCGCCCGCCCGAGTGGCGTTGCCATACGGGAAGAATGTAGGGTTAATTTACGGTGATTACACTGTGGATCCACCATTTTGTAGCATCCGCTCTAGTGGCGTTGCCGTAGCGACCGCTCCGCCTACACGTGATCTCATATGTAATATATATAGCTAGCTCTTCCTACACGAATACAACAGATTAACCATCCCACAGGTTATAGCCCGGATAGCACATTTTTACAAAGAATTACATTTTTTTACTTTTGTTTAAAAACACCTGCATAAGCATTGAATGTGTTCATCCTGAATAGAAGAATCCTTTTATCATGTTTACATTGCATGTTTCAAGTGTATCTGCTTGACTGATAATTGAAATAGCAAAACTCTACAGTATAATATAACATGTTTTTTTTTTTCAATTCCTTCATTCAATTCTTCTTTGACTGATGAGTGATATGTCTATATCACAGAGTGATAGAAGAAGAACTTTACATTTATATTCTCACACTCAGGCATTTATTAATGAAGAATCAGAGAAAATAGATACTATATAATACACAGAAGTTATAGAAGAGATTATAAAGTCATCTAGAAATAACAGAGTAAATCATGAATTGAATGATAACATCTCAAGCTCATAAGCAACATATACAGAAGTATAACACACAAGTACTATGTCTAGAATGAGTTCAGATGATATGATATTAATAATATTTAATAATCTAATAGTATTCTGTGATAGAATGAGTATGTGTTGAGTAGTCATCTCTGCAGCAGATGATTTCAAATCTGAGATTTATAAATATTAAAAGAATGTTTAAAAAGCCATAAATATTAAAGCTGTAATTACATTTAATGATAATAATTATAAGATCTGATATACAGAAATTCTTACAGATACTGAAGTTATTAATGAATCTGATATTCTTATAAAGAATCAATATATCTGTTCAGAAGACATCAGTCAAGACATATTAAGTACTGAAAAATGAAGTATTCATATCAAAGTATTATATCAATGTATGTTGTAGTTCTTATTAGAATCTGTACATATAATTATTGAAACTCTTAAGTCAGATAATACAGTCATACTATGAGAAAGAATTAAGATTGAATATACTATCTCACTTGCAGAGAAATATATAAATATTATGAAGAAATTCATTATCTTACATATCAGAGATAATAATTATCTGATATTTCAGAGAAGATTTCATTATCTAGTTACATATTATAAGAAATTAATAAATAACTTGAAAGACTTCTATTATAATCTCTTTCTTATTGATCTGAAGAAGCATCAAAAGTCTTTTCTTAAGACACATTTAGATAATTTCTACACATTTGATGAGAACTCTATACATAATATCAATATTAATAATCTTATGAAACAGTTGATAAATTATATAAATAAGTTCAAGAATGAACATTCTAAGTCTTAGTGAGTTAATACAACTATTATAACTCTCTCTACATTATTCACATGCAGTTTCAAATGTGAGATATACAGTTTAAAATGACACTGAAAAAACATCTCTTAATATCTGTATTCAGAACTTGCTACTGAACAGTGATATAAGTTAAACAAGAAATATATTATTACATCTGAGAAGAATAATAGTAATAATATCAGTATCAGCAGATGCAGCAAGCAGAAGGATAAAAAGAAGAATAAAGATAATAAGAAGAAGAAATTCTCTGATCTTATGATCTCATAATCTGCAGCTGTCAATATGACAATTGCTTTTTCAGCAACTATTGATACAATAAACAAACCTTGATTTCTTGACACATGTGTGAGTTTTCATATAACAGATGAAAAGCAGTCTCTCATTCAGCAGAAGATGTACAATAATAATATGAAGATTCATACAGTGAACAGAGATTACAGTCATATCAAAGAGATCAGCAATCTTCTTCTAGAATCTGAAGAAGAGAATATCACTGTCTGTGATATTTATTATATTCTTAACTTCACAGTCAATCTATTGTCATTTATCAGGTTGAAGAATCAGAGTTTTCAATATAAGCTTTCAAGCTTGAACACTCTGTTCTATTTCATTATTAAAGTATTAAGTGAAGTGATTTTCACTGCAATCTGTATATCTTAAAACTCAATTTATAAAATAGTTGAAAGAATATCAGAAGTTAATATATATCATGAGTCTAAAGCAGTCTACTTCACAGTGATATTATATATATATAATAATGACTATACTAAAGTCATAACTGCTATTGATAACAATGATCTCACTGATGATCAACCTCAATATCAAGAATCATCTACAATCATGAAAATACTTACAGAGTGACATGTTAATCTGAGATATATACATGTGAGAGCTATTATAGTATTGACAAAGAATCTGTTATCTGACATCTGTATCAAAGACATCAAGATCAATTTCTTTTGCAACACCTGTGTTAAAGTGAGTATAATATATAAATACTCAATTATCTTCATATCACAGGCTGTACACTCAATGAAGCAGATTCATATCAATCTTACAGATAGTAGATGAATATTGA